TAATCGGTGAGTATTAACGAGATTGAAAAACTGACATTCACATCAATTTGTTCATCCATTGATGATGATCAAGGATTATGAAGAATCTTAAAAGGGTTTGTTTGTTTGAATCACCTTTGATTTCGTGACCGACGATTGGAGATCGATAGATCAGATGATCGGAAACGGCGTAAACAAGCACAGAGCGAGATTAATAGAATCAAAAGGATCGATCAAAGAAGCAGGATCGAACGGTTTCGTCAGAAGCCGAAAGAGAGGAGAGGATCAACGGAAAACGAAGAAGAAGAAGATCAGATCAGATCAGAGAGAGATTCTTCACTTGAGACATTGATGAGAGATCAAAAGAGTGAGAGAATCTCTCCGTCACTTTATCAACCCAGTTTTTGCTTCAATTACCGAGTTTACCCTTTCACCAAATTTGTTTCATTTTTCCCTTTATTAAAAAATTAATTAGATTTGGCGAGTGTTGTTACAAATATAAACCAAAATTTTCACAACACAATTTTCCATTTGTTAAAATGAATATTTTAGTATAATTTTTAATAAACATTTTTATATCAATACGGTATAACGTATATTTATTATTAAAAATAAAATAATATTTCATATGTTTTGACATTTCTCATTAAAAAAAGCCGATGATTTATATTTTAATATGCAAAAAATACCGTCAATTACTTCTAAGTAAAGCAAAGATCTACCACAAGTAGCATAATAGATAATAAATAAATTAAATTGATAGGAAATTTGTACTGAATGTCTGAATGATTCTTTTTAAAAATTTGATTAACTAGTTTGAAAAGGAATTGATTTCGTCTTTGTTGATGGGAAACTGGAGAAGGAGGGGTAAAAAGGGTAATTCAATAGCTGAGCCGTGATGACGTGAGAACGAGAGAAATCATAAAAGGTTGACAGGTCATCAATTGCCGGCAAGCCGATGTATTATTCGCGTAGATAGATGCCACGTGTACCTGCGCATTGCATCAGAGATGGTTTTGGATAAGGTCGTAGAAATTATCACAAACATAAAAGACTCTTTTTTTTTTTTTGGGTCCTATAATTTTTCTGCATCTTCTAGATAATTATTGTACTAGCTAGTAATAGTGTCTCTTTTCTGGTAGTGTCATAAGAATTTTAAAAAATTCTACAGATATATCACCACGTCGTCAACAGGTAAAAAAGGTTAAAATCAAACGATTTATGTTTAGTTGAATTCGAAGTCAAGATTAATTAATTGATACTTGCATAAAAATAGTAATATTTCGTCATCTAGGATATTTAAAATGACCAACTATGATTAAATAAGAACTTTTCCTTTTTATCTTTATATTTAGGAATTTACATCATTATTTAAAAAGGTGATTAAATATGTTTAACAA